TCAATCATTACTACTGTTGTATCTGTGATAGTCGCAGTAAGATCATTACTTGATATGAAAATCAATGTAAAGAGTTTGTACTTCTTTCCTGAAGCCGTTTTGGAGAAGAGCTCGAAAATATGCCTATCATAGGCCACGTTGGCCATTTTAAATGATTACATCAGCAAAATAAAAATAAGATCATTTAATTCAAAATTACATTTGTAAATCGTTTGGACTCAATCGTTTAAGTGTTTAGAAGCTAGGAGTTGAAAATGTTCAATTGTAAACGGACGTCTTACATAGGACGGATAAAAGACAAATAAATACAGATAGTAACAATAGCTTATTTTTAAATCATGTGAACTGAAATTCAGCTGAATATATCCTTAATAATTGCGTAAAAATATTGTTAAAAGTTATAATTTCTTTCAAATAAAATAAAAAAATCTTTCGTACTGAAATAGTCATATTATTTGTTTCTTCTTTAGTATAATACTATAAGATTAGATACATACTTCTGGTATCACTTCCACACACAGCTTCTGTAAGGAATGCATCATAAGGTATCATGTTTTGACAGCCAGGCGGTGTTCTTCTGGAACAATTCTTAAACTGCTCTATGATCCTGCAACAAAATAACACATTTCAACTTCAGCATTGTGACCACTGACTATAAATATATAACTGACAGAATGGCTTCTTCTTCAGGTAATTTATCTATATCGCTATATCATTTTCTTATCATGGTAGCTCGTGATTTACCACTTTCTGCCATCTTTAATATATAAGCGACGCTAAATGATCCAACTTTGGAATTCTCAGGTTTGTTAAACAGGCCCGTTAGCAAAAGCAAGCTTTCTTCTTCACGAACAACTAACTAGCTTATTATGAAGCTTCAGTGATGAATTTAGGTCAATGAAATATTGATATTATGATATTTTATTAATATGATCCAAAATATCAAAGAAAAATTAATGCACTGACAATGGTAATTCATTTAGTATAGTATTTAAGACATCGGAAGTAAAATATTTGTTCTTGTTGCAATTACACCAAACAAGTTAAATTTTGTGTTTTGCTGAACCTTACATGTATCACATGATACCTAAGCTAACGTACCGTTCAAAACTGATTAAAGTATGAATGAAAACAAAACTTAAACTACATGTTTCTATGTTTAATCCCTTTAAAATATCCAAGTTGACTGGTAACAGATGACAGGACTAAGCAGCATCTTTTATGATATTTACCCACAGTATCTCTCCACTAGAAAGTGGCCGCCAGTTTCGTTTCCTTCTAATAACTCCAGAGGTGTGAGCGGAGTTAAGCATTCCACCATTGCAGGCAAATTACAAGTTGCTGTATTAAAAAAGAATCAAATGTATTTATGTTACCATTCAGTGAATCGGGGAACAAAATGTCCTTCTTAAATAAAAATCTTATTTGTTTGGTACAGTATGGTGCAGTATAATGTCTTTATCAATTAAAACAAAGTGTATTAGATGCTATCACAAATGTGTCTTACATGCATCTGTCAAATATTGAAGAGAATCTACAAGATATATTTAAACATGTAAAGGACATGTTAAGGACATGCAGAGGACTTGTAGAGGACATGTTAAGGACATGTATAGAACATGTTAAGGACATGTAGAGGACTTGTAGAGGACATGTTAAGGACATGTATAGAACATGTTAAGGACATGTTAAGGACATGTAGAGGACATGTGGAGGACATGTTGAGGACATGTAGAGGACATGTTAAGGACATGTTAAGGACATGTAGAGGACATGTTAAGGACAATCTTATTTCATGAGTATGGCAGAATTCCATGTTTTCAAAGATCGAACCTCGAGTGAAAATATCTGTATATTCTGTTCAATAGGAGCAGCGAATTAATTTTGGAATTTTATTGGAATGCTATTATTTTTCCCTTTATAACCATATCAATTATGTCATTTTGAATGGGCTACACCAGACAGTTATGTCAATTCCTGCCATAACCTGATAAGATTCGGTTTAAAGTGCCAATTATTGTTATATAATAGTATTTGATGTTCATTTCAGGAAAACCCCCGTTTTTTAAAGTTATTCGATTGTGTATGGTACAATGTATTAAAGACCACAATTGAAAATGTGATACAGCGGAACTCGATTTTTGGGGTAGAGTGACGGAACGAAATGAAGAACGAACAGAGATGAATTTCATAACAGAGGAGACATTTTATCCTGATTCGGCGTCGATCAAATGGATTTAGAAAGTGTGAAATGTAAGTACTACGTTTGTGTAATATATCTCTGTTCAGGAATATTTCGAACTTATTTTATACCCAAGGTTTATGTTTGTTCTGGTAGGGTATACTGTTAAGCAAAATGTGTTGCCGGACGGGCAACGGTCTCAGTCATTGCATAAGTTCATGAGCACTTTATGTCATTGTTTACAATGTAAGCTTTAGTAGAGCTGTGGTGTATGTTTGTATTGTTATTTGCCTACCTGGACACTCGTACTACATTTACAAAAATACTTACTTATCACTTGACAAACTGATTGTAGTTGCTGTCTGGCGACCTCTATCTGCGAGAACATGGGGTCAGCGGAACAGGCTGGAGGTAGGTTATCAACACATGAAGTCACGTTAGGGAAGATAGTACTGCGAAATCAGGAAAAAACATAATTGTAGAGCACAGGCATTGTTTAAGTTCAATTCTTCATCATGATGTCAAGCAAAGAATTGAAGAAAATCTAACATGTATTGACTGTGTTGAGCACATTTAACTAAATTGACAGTAGCTGGGTATATAATTGTGAATGGTTGATTGCTGGCTATGCTATTATTTCAATTCATATTGGCTGTCGTCTGTGTCGTAATTTTACAGTGACACATCACACGAGGTTGACCACTGGTGTTGAATAATTTCATATTATTTTACAATTAAAACATTTCAATGACACATCACAAAATGTCTATAACTGCTGCAATAGCCATTAACCACTTATTTATAATAACAATAAACTGATGAGAACAAAACGGTGACCTCTAGTAAAGCAACTCTTTACAAAATTTTCTAATGACAATATCTCACGACAGTTGTCACTGTGGATACGTCAACTTCATATTATTTTCTAATGCCATTGCACGGACATGTCTCACGACGGTTATGACTGTGGTTAGGACCACTTCATCCATAGGAAAAGAAACGAAATATAATAATTGCAACTAATCATAGTACATATTTAGATTACCTTACTCAAACATTGCAAATGCACCAATAAATGATGTTATATTAATTATTAATTTAAGTTTAACATAATTTATGTTTTAAAATTATCATATGTTATTATTACTGTTCAGATCGACTGGCTAACCTGCAAATGCGAATTAATTCCTCTTGATTATCCGCGACATTGCCTATTTCGGACAGAGGCGCTATGCACTGCAGCGCTTCCTTGATATTACACGGTGTGTCGCCATTGCCCTCACCAGTGTTGCCAGTATTACCTGGAAAATGAATACTAAAATATGAATATCTATAAACACCAATCCTACAATAACCTAATCCTTACATTTTAACATGTAAATTTGTGAAATGGGAAAACAGTCGAATTGTAACTTGAAATACCAACAGACTTTATCTTTGTAATTTGAACAAATAAAGAGCTTGGTCAACAAATCGACATTATCTGTTCTTACTCCAGTAAACAATGATGTATATTGGGTACAATTCGGGGCATTATTTGTCTATTCCATATTGTATAGCATCTGTGTTGTTACGAAACATGTCTTTCATCGATTGTCTTCTATTCTCATATGAAAATTTTGTAGTATGGAAAAATTTAAATGAGCGGAAAAAAATAACCTTTTATCCAATATTTAAGTTTTAACACTGTATTACATACCCTTCCAAACATGGTTTGCCTCTATGAACAGCAAATGTTAACAATGTATCCAGACAGTGAATCGATAAAAACCTAACCCTTGCTTTCAACGTTCATATGAACCGCTGTCACTTTTGTTAAATATTAATATTTATTGGAAATACATTTCTTTGAAATTTGAACCGCCTTGTCGATATCGACAAGAATACGATTAGTAAATACCAGGGTGTGTTATATGAAAAAAGCTTGCGTTGTGGTCAATCGAAGCTGGATGCCGCATAGTTATATCGATCCAAACAAAACTTACCGCACGTAGATTCCGTACAGGGATACAGGCATCCATCTTCGATTCTTATCAATTCATACCCCAACATCTTATTTGTCCTTAGAACTTTCTGGTTAAAACTCATTTTTAGCGGATTTTGCACCGAAGGAGTCATTTAACTCGCAGAATGTTGTAAAATATTTCATGTTTCAAAACGGTGAAATTTACATTATTAGTGTTCGCCTTAACTGTCATATTCTGCATCAACTGGAAATGGTCGATGACATTGCCAATACATTTTTCGATTAAAGAAAACATTCTGCATATAACCTTTTTGATTGAGATAACGTTTTGAAATGATTGAAGTTTCAGCTTATAAAAGATGGACGATTATCAGACCTTTCATGGGCCTATTGCTTTCTGGGTTTTCTTTTTGTTCATTTGGTGCAGTAGTATTTACATACAGACAGCTAGTGCAAACTCTTGATGAAAATGAAGCTAACAAAGGAAGAACTGTCCTTTCATTCATTTGGAAACATCAACACGTAGTATATTATTTAAAAGACTATGAAATCCTGTTCCAATGCAATATGTAAAATATATTTCTTTACACACACACACAGGCAGTTTACCATTCAGGTTTCCACTGTTAACAATGACACAACCAATGCACCGGTACATACGTATATAAATTTAGTCACTTATAACTGTACTTACCAATCATTTGACAGGCTGGCTCGAGTTGCTGCATTACAATCTGCATTTGTGTAAACATAGGATTACTTGTACAGGAAGTGGGTAGGTTATCAACACACGAAACAAATTTCGGGAAAACGGTTCTACAAAACAAGAAAAAAGGAAGCCCTGTATGATAACAGCATCGTTATTACTCCGTTATCAGTTTTGAAATATATTATCCTGCTAACAAATGTCATGTTTCCTATTGTCTAAACAGTTTGAGAGAAAATGCTCCTTTGTCCTGTGTTCCTCTGCTAAGTATACCTTCGATGTATTACAATTGTTAAAATAAAGGTTTACCGTTTCTTTATAAAATATTCCATTTTTCCGTATGTTTATTTATGATGCTGATTACAGTCCGGTCAACAATTGTTCTTTCAGTGTTTCCTTGCCAATTCACTTAATGTCACTTTCCTTGTTAATTCGTCAACACTGATATTATTTTACCTGAATCAAACATTAAATCATTGTATACAAATTAATAATAGGGCGGTCAGGCGACGTAGTGAATAGCGCACTCTCCTTTCTCGAAGATTCTCGGGCTTTCGTTCCTCGATCGGACGTGAAAATGCGTTTGGTCACATTATGACAATTTACGGACTTTTATCCAGGCAAACAGGAGTAATTTATATCAATTGAAAAAATATTATCATATTATTTTGTATTATGAATACATTAAATTAATATAAATAAATCTTACCAATAGCAGAGAATAAAGGATTAGTTTCTGATAAAAAAAGAGGATGTCTCCTGATAATGACGTCATTATTTCTTTTCTTTTGTTTAAGGAAGTTTATTCCTGATATCGACTTCTCATTTCCTTCTGATAAATGAAGCTCGTTTTCTTTCATTTTCCTCTTTTTCTTCTTATATTCAAAGAAAAATGTTTAGTGCCTTCATTTCCTTCTGGTAGAGAAAGGTATTCCAGGACAATGCATGCATGCGTGTTCATTGTGTATGCGTTATTCATTATGGATTATCGAACCTTCCCTATTTCTCTTTTTATGGAACATTTTTGGCATTCAATATATGAACATTAAAATTACATAAAACATTGTATGGACTTATTTAATGTAAAGAGTCCAATATCATTATATCAAAAAAAACACAATATGATTTAGACAAGTATCAGGTACAATGGAGTAATCTTGTCTGAAGCATAACATCTCTTGGTTTAAACTGTATTTATTCAAGTAATGAAATACATGGCATGAATAATACAAGTCACATTAGCAAACATGATGAGGAAACAAGAACTGTGTACGTATATAAAGTAATCTCATCTTTCGAACAAACTTGAGGGCTTATAGATTACCAACAATTGATAATACTACAGGTACAATTAAAAACATGCAGAAAAGAAAAATATGTGGTAAGACATGTTACAAAAGAAAAAATGATAGTCTATGGAATGGTAGGTAATTGTATCATTATGACATCATTTGTGAGGTTTTAACAGTTTCGTTTTATCAACAGTTAATACTTATAATGCTTAACCAAAACGTTTAGACTGGACCACGAAGTTTTGAACTCTGTCGAGTATTTCTTTATTTTGAGCTGTTGAGAGGTTAGAGTCTCCATATAGCAATACATTAGTAGAGAGTTGGAACGTAATGCGATCAAGGCATTACTTGTGACAATGTTAAGGAAATGATCGTTTGTTTCGAAGGCAGCAAGGCAAGAACAGATAGGACTCTCGAAAAAAAAATCCCGGAAGAGATAATAATTCAAAGAACATCTCTTACCTACAAATTCGAATGGCCTCATCTAAATTCTCTCCCATATTACCGATGTTGGTGACAGGCTCTATGCAACTCAGTATTGCCTGGGTAGCACATGGTTGTCCTCCAGTTTCTTCATCTGTGTCGTTGCCTGTGTTCCCACCTCAAATAACAAAATTAATTAAAATTCATACTGACAATGTTTTCCTTCGATTAAGTAAGAATCATTGAACATTTAAGTAATTATTTCTTTTCTTTCAAAAACATGTAAATTTTCGTCTGGCAAACATGTTTGTTCAAAAATTATCTCATAAATTACGACACAAAATAGAAAGCAAATGTGTTGACATCATAATTTCGAACATTAATCTCAAACATGACTTACTTCATGTTTTATGTACACCTGACATAACAATATTAACCATAATTCAAAGTTCTTGTTGATACTTGCAAGTAAGTAAGTGGATTGGAAGAATTTAATCTTTAACTTCATTGATGCTTTCCTTTGGAAAATTTCAAGTTCGGGAAATGTGGTAAACTGGGGACAGCCATATACCCTTCATAAATACTTATTTTAAATCATAGTCAACGATTGGTATACAATATCATCGATACTAATAGAGATGATATAGCATCCTTAAAAAGCAATGCTTTGCTCAAATCCTGTTCAGTTTATGTCCTTATAAAAATTGCTTTTGTCGTAATATTCCTTAAACAAAAGGAAAATATGTCTATGAGGTTCAGATTTTGAAAATAAATTGTTGTTATTTACACTATTTACAAGCAAATAAAAAGATAATTATCTCAAGATTTCTCTTCCAATAATTCTTTCCCATAGAAACAGTTAAGGAATTTCCTTCAGTGGTGTTTCAGAAACTGGGGTCTATGTACACTGTCTTTGCTATGATCGTTCAAAGATATCAGATAAGCAGCTGAAATACAGCGATCTGTAACAAACATGGTAACAATATTGTCATCGGTAACATTCAGGGTAAGCATATTACCATCGGTAAAATTCAGGCTAACAATATTACCATCGGATACATAAATGGTTATAATATATTCCTATCGGTAACATTCAGGGTAACAATATTACAATCGGTTAAATTAATGATTACAATATATTACTATCGGTAACATTCAGGGTAACAATATTACCATCGGTAAAATTCAGGGTAACAATATTACCATCGGATACATAAATGGTTATAATATATTCCTATCAGTAACATTCAGGGTAACAATATTACAATCGGTTACATTAATGGTTACAATATATTACCATCGGGAACATTCAAGGTAACAATATTACCAACGGTAACATCCAGGGTAACAATATAACCATCGGTAAAATTCAGGGTCACAATATTACCATCGGTAGCATTAAAGGTTATAATTTATTCCTATCGGTAACATTCAAGGTAACAACATTGCCATCGGTAACATTCAGTGTAACAATATTACCATCGGTAGCATTAAGGGTAACAATATTACAATCGGTTACATTAAGGGTAACAATATTACCATCGGTTACATTAAGGGTAACAATATTACCATTGGTTACATTAATGATAACAGTAATACCATCGGTTACATTCAGGGTAACAATATTACCATCGGTTACATTAAGGGTAACAATGTTACCGTCGGTAGCATTCAGGGTAACAATATTACCATCGGTTACATTTAGGGTAACAATATTACCATCTGTAGCATTCAGGGTAACAACTTTACCATCGGTTACATTAAGGGTAACAATATATTACTATCGGTAACATTAAGGGTAACAATGTTACCGTCGGTAGCATTCAGGGTAACAATATTACCATCGGTTACATTAAGGGTAACAATATTACCATCGGTTACATTAATGGTTACAATATATTACTATCGGTAACATTCAGGGTAACAACAATACCATCGGTAACATTCAGGGTAACAATATCACCATCGGTAACATTAATGGTTACAATATATTACTATCGGTAACATTAATGGTTACAATATATTACTATAGGTAACTTTCAGGGTAACAACAATACTATCGGTAACATTCAGGATAACAAAATTACCATCGGTAACATTCAGTGTGGTAAAACAATCCTTAAACACATTCACAATGACAACATCACAAATACGTTTTCTCAGTTACAAAACTACTTTCTCTCAATTGAACGGTAATACTTTTAAAATTACTCCCATCCATAGTCAGAATACTACAATTAATCACATTAAAAAGCAACTTTCATTCACAATCACGAATGACTGTCAATTACTGTATTTGTTTATTTAGAATTATGTGAATGTTATGTCATGAAAATTATTAAGGGTTTTCATTAATCTGTTGCAGAGGCTTTTGATAAGAGTCTAACTTCTTTATCTGTAACTTTGAATGTTTCACTAATTATTGTATAATTTACTATTTATTCAAAAATGAAGGTTTCTGCTATAAACAAAACAATTGTTTTCCGCCAGATATAATGCAACAATTGAATTGGACAGAAAGCTTGAGGCATATGATAATATTATTTTAATGTGTACTTACCAATCATTTGACAGATTGTTTCAAGTTGCTGTTTGGCCATCTCTATTTGTGTGTACATAGACTCAGCAATACATGAAGTTGGTAGATTATTGATACAGGAGATAAGGTCTGGGTAGATGGTACTACGAGATAAGAAACACAATGTCAGCAATTCTATGTTACAGCGTACAGTTTGATTATGGTTATTTTCTTTTAAATCGAGGTAAGGTGTGTTTTTTTCTAACGCAAATGAATCCTTGTCAGCAGTTTTGCTTAATTCGCACTAATTTGAGTAGTGTTCCATATTGACATATCACAGTGTTGCGAAACTATTCCTTTGGAATAATACTGATAATTATTAATGTTAACATTAGCGTATTAAATCAGAGAAAACTAACTGTGAGGTTTCTTTCAAAGTTGCAGATTTAATGCATAAGTAAGGGCTTTTGAAGCACGACATTGTGTTTTTCCCCAACAAAAATAAAAGTTACTGACAATGATATAAACAATAAATAAATTAATAAATCATGTACTGACAGGGTTCTTGTAGTAAGTAGTTTTGAACGGTTGATTTCGTTAGTTAATCACATTTAACCTCATTCGGGAAAATGATTCACTTCACAAAACGAACTTCATATTTCCCCCTCGCTTTGCAACTAGTGTATTGTGTTAAGACATTGTGTTAAACTATACATTTCTTACTTGCAAATTCGCCTGGCGTCATCTAGATCTCCGCCAATATTTCCAAAATCGGTGACGGGCTCTACACAGTTCAACACTGCCTGGATATCACACATTTTTCCTGTAGTGTTCTCAGTGATCTCCCCTGGAACATCAATTATGATAAGTTCGTACCGACAAGAACTATTCGTATTTGATAGAATGATTGAAAATGCCATTAGCTTGTTGTTTGTTTTCTCGAATCGAAATATTTAAAAAACTAAAACAATGACAAGCTTGTCTTTTCGATATAGGATTCAAACGACATTTGTGGAATGCAAGTTAATAATATCAGTTTTTTTAATTTTAATTTATTTTTGTTTGTTTAAGGAAATCAATAGGATCATTATCACGTCTAAGATTTTGCTAGTTATTGAATGTTATGATAAAATACGCATTGAATACAACAGAAAAAATGTTCATAATAATCCTCGGATGCTAGCTTATTACTGTCAAAATATAATACCATTGTCTACCATTTACTTGATACTGGTGTAATTGTATGCAGCCCAGAAAACTATCATAACAATTGTTCTTTCCTTTTTAGCCAAGTATATCAGTTTCGTCAATCATTGAGATTTTGGAGAATTGATTTGGATTTGTATCCGACTTTATATTTATCCTAAGAATGTCATATATAATACTCAAAAATATTAAACATTTAACGTATAAATAAGCAAAATAAAAATAAAAAACTTTCACTTAAAATAGTAAAAAACAAGGTTTTCCCTTTTTCCTTCTGTATTGATATGCATCAAGAACTAAAACTTCGCTCTTGCCCTTATTGCCTTCATTACAGAGATTAAAGGCCAGATCAGATCAATTAAATCGTCATACGAAGCATCTAAATTACATATTTGATTAAGTTGTTTATAGTTTTTACTTGCTGATGTGGCACTTGCCTAGCCGTCAAAACAACAATTATATTTAAAGACAGAAGACGTCTCATTTCAGTGCAGACATACTTGAACAGTTCTATATATTTATTAAAAAGGATGGATAATTCTTTTGCACTGCAAAAGAAAAGCTAACGGACTTCTATATTGTCTGAATTTTTTCAGTTTTTTTCTTTTTTGTTGTTGTTTACAAACTAGAAAGGAAGTTTAAATCTTTCTGATTTAATGACAATGGTTTGTTTCTGTTCAATTACGTTATAATAACAAAGCATTCAGGGTAAATATTTGAGTATCTGTTTGATCTAGTAGCTTTAACATACCTGTAACAATCAAATTGTGTGACGCTATCCTTTCTCTTTCTGTTTTACACACGTATTCCCCTGAACTTTGTTCTGTTGCATTTTCCAGACGTAAAATATTGAGGCGTTCGTTAATCTTGGTAACAAAGAATTCCCCCGTAGTAATGATGAATGTGTCCACAGCAATTAGCTTCATATCCGAGCTGTTAACTGCTCTATAATGCCATGATACCTAAAATGCAAAAGAATATGGGTTTCATTTTGAATACTAAAGAATGCATTACATATGTGTATCGCGCCATGATGAACGTTTTAGAAACGAAATAACTTACAAGTATAACATATATAGCATAGCATGAAATAGTTGTATTAAATATTTGATAAAAAAAATCAGCAAACATGACAATAAATTTGTTCATCATTACAAAACCCTATCAATAATTGACACAGAAGCACTGTTCTCGGGTTAGTGACCATGACGTTCATTCCTGGTTCGCTTACCACTATGTTTTGAAGGGAGTAGTTTGATGCACAGGTGAAGTCTACAGATGATCCAGTTGGTACAGTCATGTTCTGATAATTATCTACAACATCAATAGTCCATTCATCATCAAAATCATATGTATAACTTATTTCCTTGGATACCTGCATTTCTATGTTATATTCTTGAATCCGTTTCAGGAGAAGGGTGATGCATTGTGTACCATGAAAACGATAAATGTACCTTAAAGACAGGAATCGGAGAGCGTAAAATGGCTTACATAGAGCATACCGCTAATTATGTGATATTGAAAGCTTGATAAATGTCTTATGTAAAAGTGTAAATTCAAGCTTTTTAAGTACAATGATTGCCTTCCTTGTGTGATAATAAAAAATGTAATTGAGGGTGCTTTGATTACCTCAAAATAAACACAATATTGAGAATCCACTGACAATAAGTACCGGTTACCGTACATGTTTTTAGAACTACATGATCATAAATAAAAAAAGACATTTGTGCGGCAAACAAAAACTAATCAAAGCAGTGAGGGAGTACCTATAACCCTCTTACGCCATACATGGTTTTGTTCATGTTTGAAGCGTGCTTATTTCATTATGTAAGCACATTGAATGTTTGACTTAATAAATAAATATTTTAAGGCAGTAATATTGTTGAAAGAGTCAGCAATTCAGAAATAATGAGTAAAGAAGTCGTGGATTGGCTATAAAGCTTTCATCTTTTGAGTTATAGGCTTGAATACATTGGCAAGAGAGAAACAAACCCTTTTCCATAATCACATTATACGGGAAAACATAACTCACTGCATGGAACCTCATCCGACCCATCTCTGCAGTCTTTCTGCCCATCACATAGCACTGCCATGGGAACACACTGGTCATTAGATACACATGGATAGTCCGTCTCTTGAGCGCAAGCTGCAAATACAAAACAATCACAAACCAGTGTTAACAAGCAGGTTAATAGAAAGAACGCTCCCGTTTTTGACGTTTTTTAATAATGATTACATTTCCTTTTATATTGAAGTGATGTTGCTATATTATATTAAAATATTAACAAAATATGTCAATATACTAGTGATTGCATATTGTCACTTAGATTTAGTAAAAGTAAAAATTAAATAAAAAATAAAGCCCACTATGTAAGTATATACACTATTGCATTATATGAGGTATATCCGGAATTTTTCATAGTTAACCTTAATTTCGTATGAATAAGAATATCGTACATTCTGGCTCTGGTGTCCCTTCTGGCTCCGGCGTCCATTCTGGCTCTTGTGTCGGTGTCATCTCTGGCTCTGGTGTATGGAAGTATGAATATTTAGCCGAGTTATCGGTATTAATTGACACAGTATACAGATACGCCATTATGTTCACATATTTTTTCAATAAACTCAAACCAAACATGCTTTTATTACTGTTAGGGTTTTACACCTCTATAAGGATAACCTTTCAATTTTCTACTTATAAGGCAGGCATTTAACTTTTCGAAAACATGCACGTTATATACGACTTTTAAAAAATGTCATGGTCGTCATCTTGATCTCAAGGATATGTTATATATGTTATACTCCACAGAGACCAAAATGGCTCTAAATCCAAGTATGTGTGCTATGTAAATCAACACTAAGATTTCTGTGCATGAGTGTATCACATAGTCGGTACTCATTTGGGGAACGTAATAACTGTAATGAGTAAAGCACATTAAGGACTGTATGTATGTTCACATTACCTGGCGACGCAGTAGTAGAAACGGGTGGTAAACACACCACACCAGCATCTTCCATATGGCCACAATTCTCTTGTCCCCATCCATTAGACACACAATCCGCCAGTCTAGATTCGTCGCCGTCGCAGCTAACGTCATCCAGCCAGGTTGGTTCTGACCCAGCACCAAATGCAGCTTCTCTTCTAAAGCTGCCTCCCCTTATATATAATATAAACAAAATGACATTTACGTGATTCGACTAATCTGCTTTCACATCACCAAAAAGATTTGAAAAATATCAAAACAATTCAGAGAAACTAATACAAATCATATTTGCTTGATTAGATATGGCCTCCAAGGAAAAAAGAATGAATTAGGAATTGATATGAAATTTGCTGACTGGTCATATTTCGTCTGTAGGTATTTCAATAATTTGTTCTTCCCGATATAGAAGTTCGTTTTGACTCAAGTGATATTTCTTCGGAATAGAATATAGGCGGTCAGATCATCAATTACTTTAAGCATGAATCAGGGTCTTGCACGGGTTTGGCATTTTAGAGCAAAAATATAGCATATAGTATGTGGGTTTCTATGCTGAACAAAACAAAATTATGATGTTATTGTAAAATAAATTTGAAGTCCAGGTATTATCAATAATTCTGCATTGATCAGTAGCAAAATAAGTTATGAAGGTAATCGTTTTCAAACTAAACAAATATACCATGCCATGTATATGTATGTATTAATATAAAGGGGGGTCTGTGCTGGGATTGGTAAATACACTTCATCTATATGTCATAGGGTCAACAAAGGCAACGATTTATGTTGCATGCTTTATCTAATCTAAACGCTTCTAATTTGCCTGTATCCCAGGAGTCTACATTGCCTATAACATAGCTGTTACCTTACCTGTATCCAAGCTATCTACGTCTTAATCTACCTATATACCTGTATTCGAGCTATCTACAAGGTCAGTTACCTCTATCCCAACTGTCTACATCTAAACTGTTTATCAACTGTCTCATTATTACCTTACTTGTATTCCAGCGGTCTACATGTTATATTACCCGTATTCCAGCTATCTACATCTTTCCTTCCTGTATCAGAGCTATCTACATGAAAGCTTACCTGTATCCTAGCTGTCTACAAACAACTCTGGCATCGTCGTCTCCCCAACCGTCGTCACAGACCGTACCCCAGACTCCGTCATGGTAAATTTCGATACGGCCCTCGTACTCATTCCCTCCATTCACTAATCGCACGGATCCTAAGTGTAAGAATCATTTGGTTACATACCAATTAATGATTTCTATTAAATATGCTTCAGCCAACATAACATATGGCTGTGTCAAATCTCTAATAATGTTTTTCATGTACTGGTAGTTTTTGCAGATTGTATTATATTACTTACGCGAATTTGAAAACAAATACTATGCCATAAACTGTTTTTTATGTATCTTTTTAATCTATTCATTAAGTTATTATATTTAGGATGACATTGAAACCAACCTGTTGCTTATGTTTCAAGCCTGGTTCAATATCTATCAGCGATACAAGAAAAATGATGAAACTGGTAGTGAATTTGTTATATCTGCAAGTAATGCTTAAGTTTCTGGCACGTAGGAAACAAGATTCAGTTGATAATAAGACATGCCAAATGCTGGTCCTGCGCTAAAAGCAACCCTCTTTTATACAAAATTGAGTCCCAGTTGCCCAATGAACCTCTACACAAAATTTGGCTTAAATGTCTACAAATAAACTGAAAGAAAATACATTAAGCATTTATTACTATATTCTACATACTTAACCCTTCCCATTTGCTGCCAGGGGGACTACCGTCTCTGTTAAAAGAATTGAGTTCGTCTGCCAAATGACCTCTTGACTAAATGGTTTGAATAACTCCAATCATAATGAAGGAGAGAAGTATTTTAAAGATTAACCTCAATTTACCCTATTTGCCCCTCTAGCCATACTATTTGTTTAAACAAAATTGAGTTCTATTTGTCAAAAGATGCTCTCGACTAATTTTGGCTAAAATCCCTCCAAAGATACATAAGAAGAAGGACTGTCGAAGATTTACTTCCTATTGGACCTCGCTCCATACACCTACAAAGGGCCACACCCTCCGACTATATAAATTTGACTTCCCTTTACCCAAGGATGTTTCAGGCCAAATGTGATTAAAATACTAATTGTACAGAAGTCAAATGTCGGTGAAGTCAGGTTCCAAAGCACGTTTGTAAATGTAAGGGAACTCACTGCAAATGTCAAGTTTTCATATAAACCAAAACCCACTATGCTACATTTTGATAAAAGTTATCGATACTAAAAAGAAGCACTCACAGTCGATACGAACATATAAAAACTCTGGGTTGACACTTACATATCCAAGGCAAATGATTCAATTTCTAATACATATACCTGACGCCCAACCAATAAGTAAGTTTGGAAGTCCCCGAACATATCTGTTCATCATTGGCAGTAGAGCACTCTCTTGTTGTGCGATGTTATTTACCTTCAAAAGTCTCGGTTGAACTTGCTGGAACCTCCGTTGTAGTGGTAGAGGTGTTGAACACGGGAGTTGTTGTCTCCCCTCTATGCTCACACTTCACTCCTACATCCTCACCATGACCACAGTTCTCAGCTTGCCATCCTGGGAAAGGACAGTCCACCAGTCTTTCCTCGTCCCCTTGGCAATTGACATTGTCCATCCATGTTGGTTCAATACCAGAACCGTAATATGCTTCCTTAGCGTAATTCACGGGACTAAAATAAATCAATAAAGTTACGTCGATTTGCAATGCTTACCTGTAATTTATGTATTTTACATGCGCTTGTAGTGCAGGAATACATCATAGATGAGATATAAAAGTAACAAAGAAATTTAAATTGAAGCACAATTCCTGAAATTTCTGTTCAAAATGTTGCACTTAATGGCAAGATAAATAAGCGATTTGAGATGTTAAAAGGTTAACATTTTACTTTTTTCTGTTAGGTTTATTGCTCGTGAAAGGATACCCTGATCACTACTGAATGCTTTATTTTGATCAGATCATATATATATTGATCTTATTTCAATAGTTTCTGATAAAAAATAACCTTTCGTCTTATGTATAGGTAAAATTAATCTTTTTCAAACAGTTTTTACGTATTCATACTGATAAAATAACCATCATGTTGACATGATATCTTGCGAATAGATTCAGTCAATAAGCTAGTTAGAAAAACGTTATGACACTGTAATTACTTATTTGAAATACATAAGAGATCGGCAGTATGCTTTCTTTCGTGTTTTCATAGCCACCAAATATATGCTATTTAACTAGCGGAAGGATGTTTTGAAATGGCGTAGAAATGTGTATCAGTCTATAGCGATGCGTTAATAGAAAAGTCACGTACTCTCATGCAATTAAAACTGAAAGTGTCGAAAGATAAAAGTCAGTAGTACAGATCAGTTTGTCCAGTGTAGGCGGCACCAGACTTTTATTTATTAGTAATTTAGCAATGTTAGTATCAAAACGGCAAAGATAAAGGCTAACTTATGTATTATACCAATTATGTTTATTTGTTTTTCTTTGAAATTAATAACTTGTATTTCACAATTGTAAGAGCATAGTCAAGGTATGTATATATTGTATCCTTGATTAGTCGGCCTAGTTTGAATTAACATTAAAAATATATATTGCAGCAGTTTTGATAGTTTATAATTCTTTTTGAAAAGGAGTGTTCTCCTTGTCAAATTTCCTTTTAAAGGGCCTGTTTCCAGTAATGTTAATTCTCCATAGGAGCCTGCCCCCGTATAATTTCTTATCTAGCTCAACTACTGTTTTTTTCTTTTCCGAAGAATAATTTTACACCTTTCCGACACCCAGATTTCATAATTTCAGTGAAAATGTATTTTTATAAAGTTGTCAATTTCAGCATCAAAGACATAAGTTCGTAAATAAAAGAAGGTTATCTCGAAATTGTAATTCGCAACATAGTATAAATTTCTTTTGATAAATATTTCCAAAACATCGTGTTTATTCATAAAACATAAAAAAAAATATTCTCGGATGAAAATGCACTTGCAGAGACACAATTATGAAGAAAAATGCCATAAAATTGCAATTTTCTCCCGTTATATAGTTTTGGATGCAAATTTCCATCAGAAAATCGGATAGAGCTTTACTTGTTTCATATGTGTACCAAAAATCAGCTAATTCCATGTGGTGGAACGTTCTCATATCGCCGCCTGAATGTGGTTGTAAATTGAAAGAAAAGGGGAAATGAGTAACAACCTTGTCTGAAACCCTATTATATAGCTTATTATATACAAACTTTTATATTGAATATCAGAGCGGATATTTTCATGACAGTTTTATGATGTGTAACGACTAAATAAACAGTATCGATATAAAGATTTACACTGAGGACACCCTGATACATGAATACTGTTCTATCTCAAGTTGTCCTCTTCTGAATTTTCTGATCGTGTGGCCTTGTACATTTATCCGTATCTTCTTGTCTTTGTCTATACGTTTACGGAATCATTGACTCGACGCTAGCTATTCTTGTCTCACTTTCCTTGTTTTATTGTCCCATCTCCAAAGCGTTGTGGCTCTGTCAGGGTTGGGACCCTGACTTGTCTCACTTTCTTTGTGCCTGCCGACCACGCCACATCGAATAGATAGATTATCCATATGAAATACTTTATTTTGTTCTAAGTAATCAATCAATTCTGCGCTTCTTGGAGGTATTGAATGTGATTTATTATATTGTCTTGTTATTTTGTGTAATTAGTTGTTCGTTATTTATCACACATTTTCGCATAATTGTACCAAACTACTAAGTATTAGCTGTTTACAGCAATCATCGGTGGCTTGCTATTTTGTTACTTTATCGACGCTTCATAAACCAATCGTTATTGTTTCAAGATGGAGGGTAAATGTGTTGGAGAAGGGTGTCAAGTATACTTCAAGAAACGTAGTGGCAATAAGAACAGAAGTGCACGCAATGTAAATAGTCCACAATATAAATGGCTCCTAGATACGCTGGTGCAACAAGGATTGATGTCAGCAAAGGAACAAGCACTTATTTGCCAGAAGTGCTACATGAAGTATCTTCGGAACAAAAATCAGCCTGAACCTGAACCCGAGCAGAACCAGGAAATAGAGGAAGAAGACGACTCCCCGTCCCATATCCTGCCGTTGCTGACCCTTCATGATCTTTTGAATGGATCATCTTCACACAAAAAATGCTGTCTCTGTCTTGTTACCTTTGCAAGAAATGGAACAAAATCATCAGTCTTACCAAAACGTGCAAGACATCACCTGATCTATTCACACAAACTGTGGTGTCCCACCTCATCCCGCGTCTGCTCCATTCACCTTATTGGTAACGACTTAGATCCGTCTACAGAGGTTGTCCTTGATGGTAGAGGTTCCTTGGAATCTCAGTTACCATCAAAATCGTCCGAAATCATTAATGACCTCCTAGAGGTGTCGCACGTCCTTTCACAGAACCAGTCTGCGTTTACAATAAGCTTTTCTTCTCTTGATGACTCGGCATGCATGGCCTGGACAGGTTGGTCCAAAGATCAGTTCCTCGAAATCCACTCGCACTGTTCCCCATATCTTTCATCTGGTATATATACCAAGACTACACACGATGCTCTATTACTGTTCTGGGTAAAACTGAAAACCGACATTTCCTGGAGTCAGTGTTCTTCTCTTTTTGGAATTTCCAAGTCAAGTGTGTCCAAAACTTTCCACTCCATAGTACAGGCATTAGACACATCGATAGTCCCACAATTTCTAGGTCCGGATCACTTGACAAGAGAACAGTTGCTCGGGCACAATACTGTCTTTTCAGAAGCATTTTTTGGAGATAAAGCCACTGCCATATTAGATGGCACCTATATTTATATCCAGAAAAGCTCCGACCACAAGCTCCAGAGAATGTCCTACTGTGGCCAGAAGAAGAGAAACTATCTCAAATTCATGAGCATCGCCTTACCAGATGGCTACATTCTGGACACAGTAGGACCATTCACTGGCAGCGAAAATGATGCTACAATTACAAAAAAAGTCATGGACAAGCTAGTTACTTGGCTACAACCAGACGACAACGTTGTCGTTGACCGAGGTTTTAGAGATGTCCTACCAGTTCTCGAAGCCTCTGGCCTCAATGCTAGCATGCCGTCATACCTGAAACCCGGTCAAAGTCAACATTCTGACGTCCAAGCAAATCTTGACAGAACTATCACCAAATCGAGGTGGATTGTGGAATCCTATCATGGTCGTCTGAAACACTGGACGTTCTTCCGAACGCAATTGGTGTCTAACAGCTTTATCAATGTCATCGAGGCTTTGCTTCGAACCGTCACAGCCTGTCTGAATGGTATTAGAGGACCGATCTACCAGAGATCTCCAGAGAGAGATGCCAAAGATAGGCTAATGGCTGAACGTATGAAGGACCGTTTGACAACACCGAATGGTTTAGCTCAGAGAGTCAAGACAGATCCGGATCTATCTAGACGGGCAAGGTCCGAGTTTGTCAAGATGGATGCATCTTCCGTACTGTTTCCCCGTCTCGATCTTGATTACTTGAGAACCATTACGTGTGGAACGTATCAGATATCTCTGGCTCCTGGTTACATCGCCGAACATTTAAGTGATGACGGAGACTATGAGGTGTGGCTTTACCAGCACTCCCCAGACCTTCTCCGATGTCAAATACATTCTCGACACAAAAGCCAAACGAAATATAACGTTTGGATACGGTTCACCGTTTCACCCGATGTTGAGGCCCCAATAAAGGACTACTACTGCCAGTGCCCAGTTGGAGAGAGAACGATGGGAATGTGTGCGCACATCTCCAGTATCTTGTACTACCTTGGGTATTACAGGACGCTGGAAAACCCTCGACCATTACAACCACAGGTAAAGAAATTCCGACAAAACTTGAAATAGTTTTCCATGCGGCAACGGAGTGCATATGTCGAAAGTATGTTTGGGGCTCGATATGAAAGATCCCCGTTACCATGTGACTAACCAAACTTATAAATATAGGTATTATACAATCGCCCGTAGCTATGAACACTCCCGTAAATGCGAAAACCAACCAAAATCATAAGGAACACGTTTTGTTTGTTGTTCTGTCTATTTGTCAGCCAATGTCTTCAACCACGGGGACTTGTGAAGTAGCCATCTTGGATTTTTTTTATGAAAAAGTGTTTCTCTCACTTTTTTTCATATCTGTGTACATATTCTCAACATACCGAGCAAATACTCTCGTTTTTTTGTTAATTATCTAAAGAAAGTCGAAAATCGGCAATTCAACCATAGGCTAATTCAACCCAACATTTGAAAATGTTCCACCACTTACATTTTGATGATTTTTCCTCTCATCAATAGCATATTACGTACTGTTTAATAGGATAAAAATTGGTTTGCATCCAACGCCCATAAAAGGGTGTATTCTCTAAAAAACACAGTTTTTGTGTCTAAAATGTTATCATCGAAAATGGCATTTTTGAGATTGTTTCTTCCATAAAACAGCCAAATGGCGCGATGGAAACATGATTTTTTGTCACAATCATGCCATGAATGTATTCTTTACGGTGACCATCATTTGATTAGATTTTCATTAATATTTTACATAACATGCACATTTTATCAACACTTAGACAGCTTCTGAAAGGTACAACTTTGAAGAGCCATAAAAAACAAACCAAGTGACCTAAATCTTTATACTTTATAGATTTGTGACCACAACGGCATGGGCAATGCACCACCAACAGGAAATTTGAATCAGAGAAGGGGCCGTTTTGGAAACCGGCCCTTTGTGAGGTCTAAGGCTTTTCCACATAACGGAAGCCATTAAACATTGTAGTTGTATTCTTTGTGAAAAATTAATTATTGACTTATTCATCCTGACTACCACAATGCAAATAGTCTATATCATTCTTTATCGTGACAATTCACCATAAACGAATCGGTAATGCAACTGATATAACATAGAATAAATGTCAAGCGTGTCTATCATAAATCATGCAACTTCTCAAGAGTGACTACTTTGGCTATCAAGGCTACGGTAAATCTTTGGGACAAACAAATCCACCAGCAGAGTCTACAACCTTGTATTTTTAACGATGAACGTAGGAAACAAACAGGTGATTGCACTTTTAAAATTTATCATATACAGAGTATGCCAACAATGAATTGCAGTATAAACAACTTTTTAAGTTTTCCAAATTGGTCTAAGTTATTTATGTAACCAAAGTTGAGATGTAAAACCCCTTATTCTATTAAGGACAAAAAATGCAGGAGATACACAATGTAATAGTACAGTGTATTACACTAACTTGTGCCAAGGGCTTATAGACATCTCGTTTATGGCAGCGTACATTGCCATTATCTTCTCTCTTTTTTAGTGTACAGTGCAAGCTCAGAGTGTAATAAGCCGTAACCATTTGATGACAATCAGGACTACATATCAGTTAATTACATTAATTTAGTATTCAACATAATATTCTTTCAGATGTTATTGTTCATAATATCCACACATTGCAGATCATATATTTTGAAATTGTCTAGTACTCATCCAAACGTTTAACTTAATAAATTTAGCGGTTTTGTGTACATGCACCTGTATCTAAACAGTACTTTAAGCGATTTGAATAGCCAACGTTTTTGTACCTAGCATCACCGATGAGTCCTTGAAGGACGAACTAGCTATAATGGGCAGTATAATTCATTTTTTGGCATCATGTATACATATTTTAAAGGTGTAATTACATAAATCAATTGTGTTTTATCCATTGATTATAATGTTTCATTGAATTCTCGATCGATTTTTTTTGTGTAGGTAATCTGTTTTGTGACCAATTTTTCTTGGTGGCCGAAAGTGTCTGTGCAAGTTTCTAGTGTGGTACCTCGCAAAAGAGGACCATATTGTTAAATTTAGTTCCAAGTTACTTGGTTGAATCGGTAGGGTTACATAACCAAATGGGAACGTAACACACACACAGGTGATTGCAAATGTAATATTAAGTTATAGGTAGAGTATGTCAAAACTTAATGATACTGCATATAGAAACTATTTGAAGAGAAGGCAAGCTTTTTTTTGTACATATGACTTGTGGAGCCTCTTTTTACTGATGATTACTTAATGATCACACAAACAAATTAACAAGAAAGTTCAAACCATAACGGACAACAAATCGAACAAAATTCCCACACTTATATATTAGCAGTTTGTAGGTGTATGAGGAGAAAGTGAAATATAACGGTAAGACCTGGTTTCGAACCCGGGACCCTCCTAACTCTAAGCCGAAGCTTTAACCAATTAAGCTACCTGTCGCCAGCGATTGACCCAATCCAGTACCGCTACAGCCCTCCATTCTTAAACAAAGTCTTCAACACCGAAGACACATGAAACCTTATTTCGGTATGGCCAGACCGGGGTTCGAACCCGACCTGTATTCTACCTGTTGCATTATATTCTACTTGAAACACACAACACATTTCAAAAGTCTTACCTGTAACTTAAATGTCTAACACACAACACATTTTAAAAGATTAACATGTAACCTAGCTCTATACAGACAACACATATTGTATATGTCTACTCATAATTCACATCACTCACGTGTATCCTAGCTGGTTACACACAACACGTGTATTTTCCATGTCCCATTCATCATCACAGACCGTCCCCCACTGTCCCGAGTGGTATATTTCCACTCGACCCTCCAGCTCAGATAAACCGTTGACTAGACGTATATCCCCGTCTGTTAAAAATTAATTTGAACAAAAAGAAAAACTGATTTCAGTTACAACAAAGATGAAATCTACAGACGAATACATACTAAATTCAGTTATATATCTGAAACTTTGACCTTGAATATGCAAATTAAAATGTGTCTCCAGAGAATAATGTTCCAAAAATGTGTATTGAGTTTCATGAAAATGGTTGAAAACCTACAGAACCTACAGACAACACAAATATTGTCCGACAGACGAATTAGAAAATACCAATAGTCGCTCAACAACTGTTAACAAGTCAGATAACTGGTCTCATTCATTGTATGTCAATCTTGATCATATTCTCCTGAAAACCATCAAACTAATCAAACTAATCAAGACGCTTTCCAAGAACAAAAAAGAAACAAGCACAACCTGATTTTTTCATCCAGAAGTAACCATGTGTTAGTACGCGTGACAAGACGGTTGTTTTCATGACAGGTAAACTATTCTTGAAATATTGCTTGACCTAGCTACATATCAATAAAGAGTAAATTACAATAAGGTTTATTTCATATATAGAGACAGAAATTAATATGATGTTAATCACGGTATTCTGTATTTCTGTTTATTTAGTTATAATTGTTTTCAAAATGAACTGTGTGCTCCTTAAAGAAATGAAAAAACATAAAAAAATCCAACCAGGGCACCACTTCGTAGGTATTTATTTCAAGCATCGCAGAAGTCTTAATCTCAGAAGCTGAGCATACTTATATCTGTCGATACTCCATAGCAGATTTTCTTGTCTTAGAGGAATGACATTAAACCACAGCAGAGACATGCAAATTAATATTACGTATAACAACTGGGGGACTAGATACTGCAAGGAGATTACACATATATTATAACTGAATTACATTGTTTTGACAATGATCTTTAACTTTTGCTAATATTTAATTTTGACTTTAATGCTTAAGTGGCAATGGGGTTCAGACTGACTTTTACAGTAAGATTTACAAACATCGAATTACATTAAACGCTTTTCTGATTTCAATGATAGTGAGCAAAACTGTTGCCTTACATTAACTGTAAAGCAGCGAAGTTAATGTTTTTAACTGGTTAACATTTGCTTTTACATTTATCAACTAAACTCGCCGTCTATCCTAATATTTGACAAGCTGCAGTAGGTAAGTCATCTCGTCCGATGAACTTGATGCATTGTAATGTCAGTACCGTGTCCCTGTTCTCTTCACTGAAAAATGTGGCAATTAAGATTGAGTCTAAAGCAGGAAGCTTTTCAAAAAAGCATTGTTGAACGGATTTTCATGTTTTGTTTCCGAGTTATGAGTGATTGTTTATTGTTCGTACATGAAAAATTGAATAATATAATAATTGATCTCTGTAGTTCTGTATGTAACAGACTAACGGAAGCTGTTATTTCTCAACAACAATATATATATATATATATGTTTGTGTGTGTGTTGTAACAGGAATACAAAATTACACATTAAAACAAGTGTCTTAGACACCTATGTTAATGTATCATTCCATAGTCTAATTTGATATGATGTCTATAGCAATGTTGACGCTTTTCTGATTTAATTGATATTGGGCGAAACTTTTGCCTCACATACGTATACACTGTAAAGCAACATGTTCTCTACTGTACATAGAACTTAGATAATATAATTATTGATCTCTGTAGTTCTCTTTGTGACAGACTACCCGACGATTTTGTTTCTCTGACTCAACAACGTCTTGTTTTCTAGGCTACACCATTCCTAAGATTATAGAGATTTAATCAAATTTAATGTATATATATATGTGGGTGTGTGATGGTGTTAGAGTGTATGTGTGTGTGTGTGTTGCAACAAGATAGTATGGTACACTATTAGAAATTAAATTAAGAATCTTACACTCCTATGTCAATGTATCACTCCATAGTCCAATATGATATGATGCATATAGCAATTGCGGCGTTTCTACTCTAAATTTTAATACCAAAACTATAGTTTAGCCTATGATAAGTGGATATACATCATCATACTAACACACGTACACCAAATATTGAATTCAACATTACCCTTGGCTGCTGATTGCGTGGTAGAGTATGGAATCGTCATAGTGGACGGTGGCGAGGGCGGGGGGTGACACACTACACCGGCATCCTCGCTGTGACCACAGTTCTCTGTCCCCCATCCTGGAAAACTACAATCCATCAGCCTTGATTCGTTCCCAGAACATGCCACATCGTCCAGCCATGTTGGTTCTGATCCAGAACCGAAATACGCTTCTCGTCTGAACGTTCCTCCACTATAATTAATGAATATAATATAAAAAATATACTCAAGTGCTGACAATGAAAAATCTTGTGTATTTTGCATAGGAAATGAGTGCATAAAGGACACTACCAAGAACAAATTGGCCATTGTGAATTTTACTATGTAGTATTAATTATCGTTTAGACAGATTTTGGTTTCTCATATTTAGCATAGCTTATCGGTACATGTGTAAAAGAAGCGGTTTCTATCCAAGAAACCTAACCCAGGTTCGTTGATCTCGGGTCCATAGGGGTCTTATAAATTGATGAACATGAAGTATGGCAAATGAACATAGACTCAAGGATATAAACTTCAATATCTTTTATTAAACACAACAAGTGTAAAGAAATATCAGTACAATACACGATAACATAGCTCACACCCTTACTCACACGATACAACACCGTTCATTAATACTAGTGACTACGAGGCCTACTCCTATAAGCGTAGACGACGGACTCTACGTTGGAATTCTATATAGACATGTGTACAGACTACTTTCTAACCCTAACACTAAACATTATTGCTAGTCCTTCATTATTACCTAACGAGTCCTAGAAAGAAGGAGCGAAAGAGTATGTCAGGCAGTCTTACGAGGACTTTACTTCTGACTAACGAACTATACAAAACCACCGCTTGATATAGACAGAAACACGGCACTTCCCATGTGCAATAGTCGCGCAAAAGCTACTCGGAACACTTCCGGTTACGTAACTAGGTTCCGAATGTGAAAACAACAAGATGGACGACGAAACGTGGTGAACTGTCAATCGTTAATATCGTATGTTAAGTATCCGAATTATCTCCACTTTTACACATGCATAAACCAGACACTGAGACGTAAACAAGGAACGTATCCAGGAAAACAACTTTAACAAAGACCTCCTTGTCAATGACAGTTTTATGAAAGAATTGCGAAATTGTGAGATACCCATCATTCCCACTCAGCTAAACAGCCATAAGATGTGTAATAATAATATCAAAATCCATCAGAATACCGATGTGTAATAATAATATCAAAATCCATCAGAATACCGATGTGTAATAATAATATCAAAATCCATCAGAATACCGATGTGTAATAATAATATCAAAATCCATCAGAATACCGATGTGTAATAATAATATCAAAATCCATCAGAATACCGATGTGTAATAATAATATCAAAATCCATCAGAATACCGATGTGTAATAATAATATTAAAAAAATATCAGAACACCGAAATGTCAGTCGATTGAAGAAAGTTTCACATGGAGACGCTTGTATAAGAAGATTGATAATACGATTGTAATCCTTACATAAAATTTGTTTCGGTTTAATATAGTGCCTCTGAGTAATTTAAATAGGTAATTGTTGATATATTTTACATTGAATGAAATCTACAGATATTGAACTTTAGAAAAATGTATAGTTTTAGTAGATTTTAAAATGTGATGGCGGATTGATATGGGGTCAGATGTAAGGGGGTTTTCACGTCCTATTGTCAAAAGCAGACGCCCTGTAGCGCTCTTATATGCTACTAAACTCACCAAACATGTCATTTGAAGCCTTTGTCAGGTATGTATCTGTGAATCTAGATAGTTGTCACTAGTGTTGAACTTCAAATATTAACGCTATTAGTTCAAATTCTTTTCAATAACATAAAGTAAATGATTTAGTTGTTTGAGTCCTATAAAGGTTTTGGAGAATAAGACCAGGTATTCGGGAAAGGTATGCGTCATCAGCTTAATCGACATTACCAGCAATATAAATGTATGTCAGATAAAAAAAAAGATTTGTTTTCATAACGAAAACAAGGGTAGTGATAATGAAACAGTTATTTCTAACCGACATCACGATAGCGACCATACAACTTGTACAAAGTTTCCTTAACCTACATCTTTTGAAACACTCTGTTCTTAATGTATCCGTACATAGTCCGATCTATCACAGAAACATGATACTCGGATGAAGCTTTTGAATACAGAATCAATTGCAATAGTTCAACAAAACTATTCGAAGACTAATCTGTACTGTGTACACTTTAGTTCAAGTAATATTTGATGGTTATGTTCTAGCTAAACTGGAGGAAAGCGGCTGAAGTAGAAGGATTTGCATTGTCCTTGCTTTGAACATCAAGCGGATTAAATGAATGTGAAATTGAAAGACATTGCTAGATTAATGTTATCACACCTGCTAAGCTTTTCAATAAATTAAGAAATACAACAAACAAATTCGTATAACTTTACCTGTATCCAAGCTGTCTACATACAACTCTGGCATCGACGTCTCCCCATAAATCGTCACAGACCGTACCCCAGAAACCATTATGGTAAATTTCTACTCGACCCTCGTACTGGGTGCCACCATTAACCAGCCGTACAGATCCTAGGACACAATGTTTTAAAGTAACATCAGATATCAAGTACGACTGTATCTTTCATATGCTATTTTTAAGGTGCTAGCACAATATATCATCATTTTTCTTAATATTTTCTTTTTTTATATCGACACATATTTTAGTTTCAAAATACCAAATGTTTTCTTAACGAGAATTCTCCCCTTTCATTCAACATTAGGAATGTCAATTCTCAATAATTACCACTAGATACTACGATAGTTCTCAATAATTACCACTAGATACTACGATAATTCTCAATAATTACCACTAGATACTACGGCAATTCTCAATAATTACCACTAGATACTACGATAATTATCAATAATTACCACTAGATACTACGATAATTCTCAATAATTAGCAGTAGATACTACGATAATTCTCAATGATCACCACTAGATTCTACGGCAATTCTCAATAATTGCCATTAGATACTACAGCAATCGAAATTATTACAAACATTTAAACATGTATTAAATGTAAACTAATGTTTGTATCATATCTGTATACATATGCTATCGTTCATTGTTGATTACCTTCCAAATTCTCCGTGGAGGAACTTATAGGAGCTGATGTTGTGACAACCTCGGTGGTCATTTCTGGAGTAGGTTTCCCCCCACTCTGTTCACACTTAACCCCTACGTCCTCACTATGACCACAGTTTTCGTTTTGCCATCCTCCAAAATTACAGTCAATAAGTCTGGTCTCGTTCCCTTTGCAATTGACGCTATCCATCCACGTTGGTTCTATGCCTTCACCGTAATATGCTTCCGTCTTAAAACCAAGCGGGCTATTGAAAATAACACGAAGCTGTATTAGAACCAGAAAAAGCAACGCTAGGTATTTGATTCAGCAATACTGCTGGATAATCAACAGAACAGAACGCCCACGTAAAGTCAAACTCTAGACACAAAAATTGATATCAAAACATGAAGTACAGAACAAAAAAAAAGGTATCACGAAACCCAACTAACCGAAATGTTTCACGAGTAAAAACAGTATCGGAAAAAACAAACGAGAGAAATATTTTTCGGATTCAACAGGGAAGCCGTTACATTTTGTATCAATTACATTTCTAAAGTACCTTAAAGGTTGAACAAAAGTGACGGCATCAAAATGTGGGGAGTCGATAGCGTAAATTTGGGGCAATATCTTCAGGACTTCACACTTATTGAACATCTAGTGTCCCATGCAGTGAATAGAAGTTCTTTTCTGATTGAACAATATTTCAAAATAATGCCTTGACACTGTGACAGATGTAACTTCTGACGTCTTACAAGGTATAAAAATAATTAGTTCAATCAAATAGATTGAAACTAAATTTTCAAAATGGCAAAATTTGAATACATTTCATAATACTTACCTATAACTTGTCTACACAGACCACATTTAATAAGACTTACCTGTGTCCTTTCTACACAGACCACATTTCATAATAATTACCTGTAATCTGTCAACACATATCTCATTTCATAATAATTACCTGTAGCCTGCCTACCTGTAACCTGTCCACACATAGCAAATTTCATAAACTTACCTGTGACCTGTCTATACAGACCATATTATATTAGACTTACCTGTTACCTGTCTACACAAACCATATTCCATAAAAAGTTGCATGTACCTGTGATCTGTCTAGACATAACACATTCTTCAATATTTACCTGTATCCTAGCTGGTTACACACAACACGTGCATTGTTCATGCCCCATTCATCGTCACAGACTGTCCCCCATTGTCCCGCGTGGTACACCTCCACTCGACCTTCCATCTCAGACGGACCTTCAACAAGACGTAGATCACCCTCTGTTCAAAAACCAATTTCAACAAATTAAGACATGTTTTTCCGATACAACAGCTGATACTCAATCGACAGAAGATAAATATTAAAATAGTGATACAGGTTAGTACTGTGCAAATAATAAGATAATTATTACAGGTATTATAAGTTCGATATCTGGGCGATACTGGGGGCCTAAATACTGAAAGAAGATTTAATTTATATTATTATTGAATTACATTGTTTTGACAATGAACTTTAAGTTTTGCTTATACTTAATTTTGCCTTTAATGCGTAAGTGGCAATGGGGTTCAGACTGACTTAGGGTAAAATTTACAAACATCGAATTACATTAAACGCTTTTCTGATTTAAATGATATTGGGCGAAACTTTTGCCTCACATTAACTGTAAAGCAGCATGTTCTCTACTGTACATAGAACTTGGATAATATAATAATTGATCTCTGTAGTTCTGCTTGTGACAGACTACCGGAAGTTTTTGTTTCTCTGACTCAACAACGTCTTGTTTTCTAGGCTACAAACTATATATCACATTCCTAAGATTAAAGAGATTTAAACAAATTTTATGTATATACATATGTGGGCTTGTGTGGGTGTGTGTGTGTGTTGCAACAAGACAGTATGATACAATAGTAAAAATTAAGTCAAGTATCTTACACACCTATGTCAATGTATCACGCCATAGTCTAATTTGATATGATGTCTATAGCAATTGTGGCGTTACTACTCTACTTTTAATACCAAAACTGTGGTTTAGCCTATGATAAGTGGATATACATCATCATACTAACACACGTACACCAAATATTGAATTCAACATTACCCTTGGCTGCTGATTGCGTGGTAGAGTATGGAATCGTCATAGTGGACGGTGGCGAGGTCGGGGGTTGACACACTACACCGGCATCCTCGCTGTGACCACAGTTCTCTATCCCCCATCCTGGAAAACCACAATCCATCAGCCTTGATTCGTTCCCAGAACATGCCACATCGTCCAGCCATGTTGGTTCTGAACCAGAACCGAAATGCGCTTCTCGTCTGAACGTTCCTCCACTATAATGATTGAATATAATATATAAAATATACTCAAGTGCTGACAATGAAAAAACTTGTGTATTTTGCATAGGAAATAAGTGCATTAAGGACACTACCAGGAAAAAAATGGCCATAGTGAGTATAAATTAATCTGTGTAGTATTAATTATCGTTCAGAGAGATTTTGGTTTCTTATATTAAGCATAGCTTATCAGTACATGCATAAACCAGACACCGAGACGTAAACAAGGGACGTATCTAGGAAAACAACTTGACAAAGACCTCATTGCCAATGACAGTTTTATAAAATCAGCTAAACAGCCATAATATGTGTAATAGTAATATAAAAAAGCATCAGAATGCCGAAGTGTCAGTCGATTGAACTATGGTAAAATATGAGCAACAAAAGAAAGATTCACATGGAGACGCTTGAAAAAGAAGAATGATAACAAGCCAAGATGTTCCAGAAAGGTAAGCGTCTTCTGCTTCACCGAAGTCACCAGCCAAATACGCTAGATCAAATTTAATCATAGAAACGTCTTCAAACTGATAAGATACTGCTCAATGTTGAAAACACAATTCGAACACTCAAAAGTTGTAAAACTAGGGGGGAAATACAGATGTTGGATAGCACAACGTTACACGATGTGCGGTGTGCGCACTATGTGTGCACGGTGGGTGAACGATGTGTGCACGATGTGCGAACGATAAATAGTTATTTATTTATTTCCTCTGATAAGAGATTACAGATTCCTACATCTATAAGTTTTCTTTATGTCTATACTTTCTTAAAATTAGAAATTGTGTTTTCGGTATTTTTTAATCGACTTTAATCGACACATGTGAAATTACAACACAGTCCCGTATACTTTATATTATCGTGTTTAGTCTGCATTAAACCCAACAGCACACAGGTTATACTCTGCTATGTTTTTTGTCGATAAAATAACAAATACTTAAATTGTCGAAAATGAGCATTTATTCTAAATGCCAGAAATCGAACATATGTATACATCTTTGTGTTGATTTTTATAATAAGGTGTACAAAGAACAAAAAAAGATGGGGCTTGCTTCAAAGTAAACGCACCATTTGTAATTAAAAGATGTACAACAAATGAAACAAATATAAAACAAAGATGTGCAACAATTACATTTTTACACAATTGTACATAAAGGTGGATACAAATTAGGGGAGGAGGAGGGTAGCTGATTTTTAAGGAGATTTTTTAAAATGTCAGCATGGAAAAATATTCTGCACAGGTCACGTGACTTTAGTACACCAAAACATCACGTGACTACTTCTATAGGGATGGACTAGTTTCAAAAACGGAAAGTTATCCTCCATCCGGAACCCACAAAATATAACAAATAAAAATATCACATACTAACCATATAATATAAATTACTTTATGCAATGCATAGATACAATTATATTATCGTGTTTAGTCTGCATTAAACCCAACAGCTCACACAGGTTATACTCTGCTATGTTTTTTGTCGATATAATAACAAACACTTAAATTGTCGAAAATGAGCATTTATTCTAAATGACAGAAATCGAACATATGTATACATCTTTGTGTTGATTTTTATAATAAGGTGTTCAAAGAACCAAAAAAGATGGGGCTTGCTTCAAAATAAAACGCCACAAACTTGAACTTAAATATTACCATATTTCTGTTCAAGTGCCCATACTATACAGGTAAACATAGCCACTTTGTACATGTACCTGGACCGTAGTTTTCCCCCGACCGGGGCGCTTACGTATTTCGTCGGGTAGGGCCAGGGTTGTGAAAACCCAGGTGAAGGGGAGCTATTAGCAAACCGAATGCAAATATCAAATGCTAAACGTACGGTATCGCATATCAGCTACATGGGTCAGGTACAGGCAAGGTAAAACTCCGGTCCCTCATCAAATTGTGATTTACCTGTTCTGTTTACCTTGGAGCCAAACCCATGCAACGGTCACTGTAACGCTGTGTTACACCCATTGTAAAACTGTACATACTCTTCATTACTGTGATGAGAAATTACGTTAATACATTTTTTTATTATACGTTTTCATTATTGCATACGAACTTTCCGTATTTTTTTTTCATTTCGTAATATTGATCTACAAATTGTACCAAATCGCACAGTTGTGCGGAGAGAAGCGCACAACGGGGCGAACGATTGTTAAATAGCACAATTGTGCGCACCATGTGTGTACGATGTGCGGACGGTGGGTGAACGATGTATGCACGGTGTGCGCACTCAATTTTTGGTGCGTTGTGCGGTCACACAACTGTATGAACAAAGTCGAGATTCAGATCCTTATAAGGACTCACAGAAGTAAATCAGCCAATCAGCAAGTCTCTCATACGATTGTGATCCCTACGTAACATTTGTTCCGGTTTAATATAGTCACTCTGGGTAATTTGAATAGGTAATTGTTGACATATTTTATATTGAATGACATCTACAGATATTGAACTTTAGAAATATGTATAGTTTTAGTAGATTTTAAAATGTAATTGCGGATTGATATGGAGTCAAATGTCAGGGGGTTTTCGCGTCCCACTTCACCGGTTTGGCTTGTAAACTTCCAGTTGTCAAAAACCTTTGTCAGGTGTGTATCTGTGAATCTAGACAGTTGTCACTAGTGTTGAACTTCAAGTATTAACGCTATCAGTGCAAAGGCGTTATCAATAACGTAAAGTAAATGATTTAGTTGTTTTAAATCCAAAACATGGAATCGGGAACAGTTTAGGCAAGGCACTACAACGTTTTAAAACGAATAGTGAAAGAGTACAGGGAAAGATGTAATTGGTCGCACCGGCTTTGATTTAAAAGAAATGAAAACATTTCTGTTTTTCATTTATTTGTATATTTTCATTCAGTGCTCAACACATTAATAACTTTAAAAAAAAACTTGTATAACCTTTGTATATGTATCAACAGTGAGGGCCCCTGTGTGTTGACATTATACTACATTTCCTTGTTTCTCTTCTAATAAACATTTTTCACGTGTGTGACCTCGTGAAATATAGAGGAAAAACAAAGAATCGTGTTTTCGACCACAAGGACAATACATCTTTTATTTCAAAAAATAAAATAACAACATAATTGAAAGAATGATTGGGTTGTTGAGCTTATGTTGGGGTCTGCATCAGTCACTGGGAAATCGGTTCTAATGGCCCTTGCCCATTTGTAGAGAGGGTCCGGATAAGGGAAATATAACCATGGAAATTTGCGAAAAGGAGACACGATGTCATATTTCCCCGTCATGTGATCAATAAAATCCAATCAGATAGGTTGTTACGTAGACTGTTTATAATAAATGAATTTCGTTTCGTTTGTAGTGTAGTTCTTAAATTCGTGCTACAGGTGTAGTGTAGCACTTCGCACGTGCATTTAGTGTGTATTAGCATTCGACGAGATCGTTCACAGCAGTACGGACGTGTATTTTACCTGTACACTGTATGACTAAAACAAAATGAACATTGACAAAGAGGGCAGCTCAACTGAGCCTACATGTACCAGGCAGGATTCTACGGTGAACCTTTCCACTGCTGATACCCTGTCCCTTTTTAGCTCTAGGCTGGATATCGCACTGAGTTCTCACCGTTCCCTCATTTCGTCCGACATTGACAAAAAAACTTCAAAGTCAGGAGAAACTTTTGGCAGCGAATAAGTCAGACTTTAAATTTAAATTTGAAGGGAACCGTAAACAGTTTGTCTTTAACTCTGAGATAAGACTGGACATTTCCAAAGCTATTCAAGCTATTAAAGACGATAATAGCGAATTAGCAGAGTCGACGCTCACGATCTGTATCGCTCATTTAGACGAGAGGAATAAGATTGTTAAGATAGCGGACCGTCATGGTTGGGACACGGTTGCTGAGTACGAAGATGACCCTATTTGTGACGACGCTGATGATTCTTCTAAGTTGCGTCAGGCTGAGGCCAGAGCACAGAGGAAACGGAAGGCAAAATCTGCTAGCCGTAATACGAATAAGCCGTATGAACG